ACGTAAGCTGCGGCTGTTTAATCAGAAAGCCTGTTGAAGTGTTTTGAGAGTGCAGTGTTAATAAATAATAAGTTTGAGCTGCAGAAAGGAGCGGAGACTAAAAAAAGAGGGAACAGAAAGGAGGAATGACGGACATGACAGGACAGTAAGAAGAAGAGATGAGCTGTCAGATAAATGTTTCCGTAGCCGGGAGTAGCTGTGATAATTTCAAATAATTTAAATGGGTTTTTTTTATCTCCCTGAAAATATCTGAAAGACTAGTTATATGAACAAGGGAGGCCTTCTTCAGGAAAACAGTCAAATAATCTAATCATCTAGAAAACGCTTCACCGTAGAGACTGAAATTATTCCGGCTCTGTTGAGATATTGATTTTACATTTCAGGGACACATTCTTCACTCTCCTAACACTTTTGAAAGTCCTCAGGGATTCATGATTTATTGAAAAAAATAAAAATAAGAGTGCCTTTTGTTGTGGAGAGACACTTATTTAGTGTAATGTGGAGCAATTTGCTTTATAAAGACTATTACACATGACAATCCAGCCATCAAAAAAATATGTTCCTTTCAAACAACGTCTTCAAAATCTCCATTGAAAACATTTGTACACAATCAGTAGGCTATCTCGCCATTTACAACCAACCCTAATGTGTAAAACCAAAGTTTAAGTGTTGACAAAGACAAATGTGACGAGTAACATTAAGCAAAAGACTATCTATTCCAGTGGAGCTTTTCAATCAGAATTGTCCAGCCTGAGGAGTAAGGATGCTTCAAAAGAAAATGTATTAATCGGTCAGGTTACAACCAAGTCGAGTAATTCCTACAACATTAACTTCAAGAGCAACCTTTCATTATCCTGCGGTGCACTTATGCAAGGCTCACAGGACACATTTCCGAGCAAGGCTGACATAAATTAAAAATACATTAAGATTTATGTCCGCATTAAATGAAAGTTGGAAGACCTGGGAAAGAAACGTTTTCTGGCTGGTTTGATGAAAGGAAAGACTGGGATGTAGTTCAACATTTTGGGAAATAAACTTTCTGCTAGAGATTTAAACGAGAACATTTAATATGATTGATACCACTCTTACACCTGTCTTTCAAACATAAAGCTACAGCAGCAGTATGGATGCATATCGTTGACTTTCTTACGATACCGATACCACTGAACGATACCGATACCACTGAACGATACCGATACTCGACCGATACATATCGTGATACTTTCATGTTGTATTTGGGGAAAAATTGAAGCGCTTTATGATATAGTTAAAATGTCAAATGAATATTACAATTAATTGTGGGACTTCAACCTTTTAGTACTGAACAAACAATGAAAAACACGTTTGACAACACGGGCTTGAAGACTGTACATTCCTGTACTCTGATTTTATGTGACAATAGCAAATGTTTTGAGAGGTTGGATGTGTTGCCACCTTTCCCAGAAATAAACTTCTTGCAGTGGTTACAGACCCCACCATTCAGACTGGCAGTCATATGCAGCCACACAGCTTTCGTGCCGACATCGAGCTAATGAAAAAACGAAAACTAACCGAAAGGCTCAGACGTTCGGGAGGAAGGTGAAGGGCGTTGCTTGACAATCAAGCCAATCACCGAAGCTGTTGCAAGACGTGCAATCTGATTGGCTGACGGTTTGGGCATGAGTTTAAGGATATTACGCGTAACTTTATATATATTAAAAAAAAAAGATAATCTAAAAAGTATTGAAAACCGCGTCTGATTTCGGTACGGTATACCATAGCTGCCAGTAACCGGTATTCCGGTAATACCGGGAACCGGTATGCACCCCTAAGCAGCAGTCTAGCTGAGTTTTGCTTAGCCTAGCTTATCTTAGCCTAGCATATCTTGGCCTAGCTTATTTTAGCTTAGTTTATTTTAGCTTAGTTTATTTTAGCTTAATTTAGCTTAGCTTAGCACAAAGAAGGGAGAAAGTTAGCCTAGCTCTGTCCAAAATCCATCCAAAGCATACTGAGTTGTACTGAATATCTTGTTTGTTTAATTTGTAGAAAACAAAAACATTAAAATAGTTACAAGTCATTGTTTTACAGAGAGGACATGTGACTTCCTGGAGTGTCTGCTGGTTTCCTGTCGACTTCTTGGAGCTAGGAAATAGTCTGGCATAAACAGATACTCCCCGCAGAGAAATAAAGTGAAACCAGAACCCCTGGGTTGATTCAGAAGTAAGAAAACCTGATTCAAAATCCCATCAACTTTTCTACCAACAATGACAACAAAATAAAATGCAGCCTTAAACACACCCTTACTCAACAGTTTGTTATGTATTTAACTACATATACTAAGATAAGGTTAGCATATGTTTAAAACAATCTAATATCATTGTCTGTTCTACATTTCAGTTTTTGGTGCAGCTTTTAACGAATAGCATTTCCCAGAAGCCCTTAATCGTCAGGGCTTGATAAAGGAAGCTAGTCCAGGGGTCTAAATAGTGTCTCTACTTTAAAGAGTTCTCTCCTGCTGATGTTCAGGGTATATCAGTATGTAGTGTCTCTACTTTAAAGAGTCCTCTCCTGCTGATGTTCAGGTGTATATATGTACAAAGTGAGTAAAGAAAAGTGCTTAAAAATGTTATTTTGTTTGCCAGGTTAACCGTGTACCTCTCTTTTCAGCCTTTATGCTAAGCTATGCTAACTGTCCCTGGTTGTAACATCACATTATTAACAGACAGATATGTTATCACTCCTCTAACTCTCAAAAATAAACAAAATGAGTGTAATTCCCAAAATGCCGGCCAACTGTGAAATCAATCTGCAACCCAAGCAGCAGTCAAATTGAAAATGTCCAAAGTTTTACAAAGACGGACACTTTGAGTCAAAGTTTACAGTATATTGTCTGGAAGTTGCAGGAGAAACAGAGCACTCGTGACACATCCGCACACACTCACGTCAGCAATTACAGATTCCCGTATGCGCGCACGCACACACACATACACACACAACTGACTCACTCAGACACTTGTTCCCTCTGCTCCCATACATGCACAATTGCATACACGCACAGCACAGCACTAAACACACATTGACACCCCCATAAACAGCGTTAAATCTCCACCACGTACATCCCCGATTGTAATCCACCAGCCAGTTGCTAGGCAACGCTGTAACTTGTAATAGCACTCATGGCCCGCCGCATGTAGGGTGGGGGTAAGGGTAAGGATGGGGGAGCCGGGTGAGGAGGTTGTGAGTTTTTTTTTTATTCAGAGGTAGCTACTCGTGGGAGAATGGTGACGGTCGCTGCCACTGATGGAGACTTGATAGCTCCTCCGACCACCAAACCATCTCAGCAGCCATCTTGGAACCCAGGAGTCAACACTGAGGCTATTTCTCACATTTCTACAGGAAGGGTTGCCTTGTGAGATGAGGGGCAGAACAGCAGGGACACATGAGCAGACATATCTTGTATTTATTCTTGGATTATGTTCTGACAGGGGTGGGAGATGGGATGGGTGAATCTGAAAAATATGACATATTTAAACCAAACTAGGTCTGCAGCCAATAAGCAACTTTTTCATGTGTTTTTTAAAACAATGCACATAAATTCTAACCTGGAACCAACACATTATAATAACAATTGATAGCAGCAGTGCCAACCTCTTTTATTGCTTATTAATTGTTCTTGTCATCTTTAAAAGCTCCATCACCCAAATGTAAATCGGTCTTAAAAAGATATCTATCTTTTATTATCTATTCCTCTCTTTTTTATTTTCTTTATTCATTAATTATTATTAAATTCCAAAAAACAAGACAAATACCAAATATAATCACTCAGATTTTAAGACAATGTCTTTACATTTCCATTTTCTTATACGACCAATAGTCCAAAGCCCCAAAAGCCCTAAGTTCAGTTTCAGTTTAATATTACAGGTGATAAATAAAACCTCACATTAGAAGTTGGATTTTCATGTGAAAAATTGCTTAAACAGCTAAGCATTATCATTGTAACTGAATTAAAGAGTTTGTTAATCATTTTAGCTCTCCTGAAATAAAAAAACGTATACTAATTTATAAATCCCATCCTGAGCACTCTGCTACACCTTTGTGAGAAAGGCTGGATGTTTCTAATCAAACACTTTCACACTGATAAATGTATCATGTTGGAGGAATTTGTAAATGTGTGTGGACAGGTATTGTCTAATCCACTGGGGAGGAAGGAAGTTCGATTTGGTTGCAAAGCCGCATCGATCATCCTCTTTTGGGGCAGAAATTGCTGCCAACACATCACACAAATGTGATATACTCTTCTGCTCCATCCCTCATAAGAGGCAACCTGGGAGCAAGTTTGTCGGGATTAGTCAGCCTTCCTGCACCTTCTGCCTGTCGCCAAGCAGCCCTGACCCGACCACCGAAGTGGAGAAGCTGCTCACTGGAGCTCAACTGTGCCAAAGGGGGCAATTTAAAAAACATTATAATCACATGAGAAGAAATGTCCCTGGCTTGATAATTAGTATAGAGGCGAGTGGAAGATATCTTTGATGCTGTTTGGTTTGTCTGCAGTGCATAATGGGCTTCTTCATTATCCCCTTTTTCCAGCTAACTTCGAGGCACTTTCTGGAAGAAAGAAAAACCATCCATTCATAATTCATGCAGGTCTTAAGAGTAAAAGTCTTTTATCAAAATTAATCCATAACCACTAGAACTGCTGTTCTCAAGTGCAGCAAAAACGAATCCGATTCGTGTTTGAATGACACACCAGTTGAAAGAATATGCTTTGTAAAATCCGGTCTTAATGCTAAGCTAAGCTAACTATTTGACAGAAACAAGAGGTTATTAATCTTCTTATGTAACTGTTGATTATAGAACTAATGTTGAAGTGTTTTGAGAGTGAAGTGTTGTGTGCAGCTTATCAATTTGGCTTTTTTGAGATTTTCAGTTAGCATCCAACCATCATTACTAACGCACTCATATGTTTTATTATCCTGTTTTGTTCTCAAACACACATGCTTAAAAGGCAGCAGGTCCCTCAGCTGCTACAACAGTGACAGAGTCTGAACCTATAGGCTCCACCAGAGTCCTCACATGGACCATTTATTCTTATTTCTCATTGTGCCTTTCTCCATCCCTGCTTTATGGCCCCTGACAACTCATGTGACAAATAGCCTCCAGGCGGCCTCTCTGCTGAAACCTCGGCTCCCCCCAACAATCTTTACGTCCTCTTTTATAATAATCGTCTGATAGCGAAGACTGACCGTGTGCATCAGCCATGGGGAATCACTGTCTGGCATCGGGATCCACCAGCTGCCTGTGTCAATCACCAAGTGTGTTTTCCAGGCCGCTGTAAGTGTGTTGTAGTGAAACCATGCCACCCTGTGGAGGGAAAGGCTCCAATAATGCTTTATTGGAAGAGATTTCTCTTTATGTTTCTCCTTTCAGCACCAGAGCACTGGGTCAAAGACAGATGCTGTGTCTCATTCAAGGACGTGTTTGCAGGATGGATGCTTTCTGACAGAGACTGAAGCTTGGAGAGAATCCTCTGGTGGATCGAGGGACTCTTTATTCTGCCAGCGCCACCCCGCTGCACAAACATCAACCCAGAGGTGATAGCTTAAGTGTGTCAAACATGCTAAGATCACTTCTGGTTGTCAAGGGAATAAAAAGCAGATGCCGTCTTTCTGTGCAATCGGAACATCCTGTTCAGCACCTGAGGCTGAGATGTAGTTTTTGGATGTGACTCTCGATTTAATAAAACCAATGAATGTCTTTGGTTGTATCTCTTAGAGTGAGACACTATAGGCAAACCACTCTTTTTAATGCACTGAAAACATCCAAAGTGCACACAAACAGTGGTGGAAAGTAACTAAGTACATTTACTCAAGTACTGTACCTGACATAATGTACTTTACTGGAGTATTTCCATTTGATGCTTCTACTTGGCTGCATTCCAAAGGCATATCATGTACTTATTAATCCTTTCAAAGTTACTTTGTCCCCAGAAAACACATGATATGCTTCTGTGGTATAATGCAGTGCTGCACTACTAATCTACAAAGTATTTCAAGTATCTAAATGTGGTCCACATTGAACAACTACAATACTAAAACGCTCTTAGATTAATAAAAACAGGACCACATTTGAACCATAATGATATAATGCAATGCAAATATCCATCCTGCATAACGAGTACTTTTACTTTACATAGTACATTTGGCTGATAATACTAACTTCAGTACTTTATATTATGCACTAATACTTTTTTACTTTAGCTTAAGTACACATTTGAAATCAGGGCTTTTAAGACCATATTATTTGTCATTTTACTTAAGTAAGGGATCTGACTACTTCTTCCAACCCAGCACATTGAGGGGAGTAGGACACATCTATTCTTATTGCATTTAGTTTTCATTCTATGACATTTTGTGACAGAAATCCACCGTTTTTAATTGTTGATTGTCATTATTTCAGCATTCAGAAAAACATCAAAATCCTATACAAAAAGAGATGTGTACTTATTATTCAGTTTAGTGATTTGGAGTCATTTAGTCACATGAAAAATGAAGCTACTGAAAAACAAAATATATATATATGGCACTAATATGCAAACTCTGAAATTGTAAGACAAAGTGAACATTAAGTGTGTATTTGGTCAATACTCAAATATATTTCGACATGCATGAGAATTGGTTTATAAAAAGTTACTTGTATACATGTGTTCAATCCATGGTTCAATCATTATTTTGTTCAGACCCAAAACAATGACAAAGGCGTGTTTCTCGGGGAAATCGTTACATTTATGCAGTTTGCTACATAGATTAAAATGAATGAAAATCTATGAGGTGCAGCTGTTTAAACCAGTCAATGTTACTCTGCTGTTACAGAGACGATTGCCATTTGTTTTATGTGACCATCTTGCCAGCTGGAAAGCAGCCCTTTAAAATAGCTTTGCAGCTGCGCCTTTTTTTTAGCCTCGACGTTTTCTGCGAATTCAACCTTTCGACCAGGGTTTGGAAACTAACATACAATAACTCTAGTGAATAAAGCGATTGTTTGCTACAGGCCTTTCCGAGCTGAGACTGAGTAATATTGGCCACACACAAGGAGAGGGTGAGCAGTGTGCAGAGCTCCAGGCTGAGCCCCGGTGTCAGGTGCTCTGTGTGACCGCTAGTGATGCCTGATACTGCGGATCGACGCGCTGCAATGGACCGGTGAGACTTCCACTGCTCAAGGGAGGGGTTTCCTGCAGCAGCATGTGAAATATATTAATGAATGACTCTCATATCAGTATTCTTAACGTTCAAGATGAGATGTTTAGGCCTATATGTTTGAATCTACGGTTATAATATAGGCTAGGCCAACGATGTTACGTGATATGCCTGGCACAAGTGTATATCTTTACAAAAAAGGTGTTTATTGCATGCTTCGCTTATAGCCAACGCTGCTGCATATCAAGTAACAGTGACACCGCCAGTTAGAGTTGTTTGACGTCACTTTATATGATCATCCCGGCTTTACGACTCGTTATTGTTGGTTGGCTTGGAGGAGGTGGCTCTCTGTATGGTAAAAATAATCAAACAAGTCATAGTAGGCTGTAGCCCATGTATAACATTGTGGAAAAAAAAGCAATAGTTTATGTCAAAAGATAGGAAGAGATTATAGCATCAACAACATGTCTTGAATATTTCGTTTAAATTCGAGAAAAAGCATCATGTATATAAAAAAATGTATAGTAGGCTATGTCGAAAATAAATGTTATAGTATGTTGAAAATATAAAAAAAAAAGTTATAGTAAAGTATGGCAAGAAATATCAGAAAGAACAACATACTATACTATTTCCATAAAATAAAATAAATAAAAACATCGTAAAACAAAAAACAGCATAGTATTGTATTTTTAAGTTTTCAGAAAAAAAGATAGGCTATAAAACAAAAAAGCTCAAATATCCCCTTGAGTTGCTTCCTCATCTTATGTTGTCCTTCTGCTCAGGTTTACATAATGGCAGTCAGTTGTTAACAGAGCGTTAATTGAGTCTCTTGCCCCCTCAGATCTGCTGGAGTGGAGCACTATAAGGCAGCCATGCTGCTGAGTGGAGCTGGTGATGCTCTGGGATACAGGAACCAGCTGTGGGAGTATAATGAGTCGGGACCGGCCATTCATCAGGTGATTGCAGAAAGAACATAGAAAGAAGTGCTGAATAGAAACTGCCTAACCACTGCTAAAGGTATAATAACCCTCTGTTGTGTTCCTTTCTTACAGGAGCTGAAGGAGCTCGGTGGTCTGAAGAACATCAAGGCCGAGCTCCCTGATTGGCCGGTGAGCGACGACACAGTCCTTCATCTAGCGACGGCCGAAGGACTGGCAACTGGTGAGGGGCAATAACATTATCCCTCCTGTCTGTCCTTTGCTTGTTTTGTTTCCAATGAGGCGTTAAATGGATCGATCTGATAGTCGAAAGTGTTCTGTTGAGGCCCCATTGGAAATCATACCACCCCCCCCCCCCCCCGACTAAAGGTAAATCTAATTTCTACTTGATTTGCTGCTCTATTACGGCTCTGCACAAGTGGAAGGAAATGGTAGAAATGTCTACTTGACCTTTTTCTGCAATAGGGCAACCATGTTATCATCTTTAAAAAGTTTATGAGGAAAGCATCTGCAGAAATTAACGCTCGTCTCCCTCTCAGGCAAGGTTGGGGAGGACCTCTTGCATGATGTGGCGGCACGATATGTGGAGGGGATGAAGGACATGGAGGGGAGGAAGCCAGGGCCTTCAAGCATCCTGGGTGAGACAATTTATTCATTTTGAAATCAGATCACATTTATTTGAAGTGGTTGCAGTGATCTGACTTCTTCTCTGCTCTTTCAGGAGTCTCCCAGCTGAAGCCCGGAGAGGAGGGGGGCTTCAGAGTGAACTATAACCCAGAGGGGACGGGCTGTGGAGCCGCAATGAGGTCCATGTGCATCGGCCTCAGGTAAGACACTCATCCTCACAATAAAAACATAATAACTCAGTCTGATTCGTATGCATGGCTGGGTTATTATTTTCTAATTGTCAATTACTCTGCAGTGTTGTTTTCCTGAGCAGAGGGAAAAGTAGAGGAAATCAAATCCATGTTTCAAATTGATTTCCATTTAAGTGCCACTTCATTATTAATTTTATATTTCTTAATGGCATCTGGTCCTGGAAATAAAGGCCCCTGTTTTAGGACTGGGTTTAATTTGTTGTCTGAAATCCATAAATGTTGATTTGTTTGCATTTATCTCAACTGACCATTTATTTACAAGTAAAATCAATGTGCTCTTCATTAAAATTCATTTGTAAAATCGATTTTCTTCATCTTAATTTCCATTCCTATGTATCTATTTCCTTTGTCCAATAATTGTATATTAAATAGCTATATATTGTATGTAGCTTTAATGTGTTGTGGTTCATGTAACATGGCTATACTTGTGGCTATGATTTTCTAAACCCCAAAATAAAATATGAATGATAAAATGGATGAAACACTTCAAAGAATCCAGACTCACCGCTCAGACAGAAACGACTGTTTTCTGTCAAATGTGGCACAATAATGGCCATTTATTATCAGCTGCAAGAGAGAGGAGAGCATTACCGTAGTCCTAGCTGATGATATGAGGGATTTAAAAGACTCAGCTTGATATATAAAGACTCTTAATATGTTTTTGAAAGAGTTGCCCTACTGAGGTTACAGCCGTGACTTTCAAAGTTAAGGTCAGAGTCCAAAATAACTGAGGTATGTGTGAATACGTGTCCTCACTCTAGATTGTAAAATCTACAACATCTAATATTATCTCAGGAAATAATGAGGAAACTAATGATAAGCTGATAAAAAAATCCACTTTATTAATCTACTGTTGCTAAGTCTGTAAACTGTAAAGAAATATAGCCATAGATTTTTCATATCCATAGGTTTCCAAGATCACAGAAAAAGCTAAAATCTTGAGGTTGGGGAAGAGAGAATCAGGTTTTGACCTTTTCTTCTCAAAAAATCATTAAAGTAAAAACAACCAAACAGTTCTGATTCATTGTGTTTCTCAATGAATCCACTTAGCTCTAATCTCATCACGGTTGTAGATACATCTTTATTAGGAATCCATTGGATGTTTTTACAAAACAAGAAAACGAAGAGTTAGTGTTTCTCTGTCTTTGCTTCGGATGATGAGGCACAATAATAGGAACAAATTTAAGTGATGTAGAATTATTGACCGTCACAGCGCCAGTTGGTCTGGTCAACCTAGGACACGAGATAACATGACATTTCACTTTTAAATTGACATTTAAGGCACTCTGCTCTTTTCCTGAAAATAATTTATGATAAATGCTACAGTGGGATCAATGAGCAGAAAATGAAAAAAAACAAGCCGTGGAGTCCATTAAAGCATGCAAAGAAGTAATTACTATAAACAGTATCCACACAGAATATAAATGCAGAAAACACTCTGCTGTGTGATGGACCTCATTAAGTAGAACCCTGCTGCTACATATCCTGCCTAACAAATGCTGATAATGACTTAAATACTTTGTCCCCGCCTCGAGGTATCCAAAGCCGGACCAGCTGTTGTCGTTGGTGGCGGTTGCTGTGGAGACGGGCAGGATGACCCACCCTCACCCGACAGGTTTCCTGGGGGCCGTAGCGTCGGCTCTTTTTACAGCGTACGCCGTGCAGCGCAGACCGATCACGACCTGGGGTCTGGGCCTGCTCAACGAGGCCTGTCCAATAGCAAAGTGCTTTGTTCAGGGTCGGGGCTTCGCTGTGGAGGAGACGGAGAGGGACTGGGACTTCTTCTGTGACAAGTGGCAGTGGTATGAGCTGCTGAGATTAAGCTGTCATGCTGTATTCAACATCATCAACTCTCCATTAACCTTTTAAAGCCTTAAGGTTAATAGAGGATGACGTGATATTTGTACTGAAATGTTATTGGTCAAGTTCAGTTCAGCAGCACTGAGCTCTTTTTATAGTAAAGTAGTGCTCCTAAGGACAATATAAAGTCCATATATTTATTTTCATCATTTAAAGGGCCCTATCATTCTCATTTTCAGTTTCAGTTTGCGCTTTAAGCCTCTTTTGACATACTTTAATGTTCAAAAAGCTCTTTATTTGTCTCATACTGCCTGAGCTGCGGCACCTCTTTTCACCCTCTGTCTGAAACCAGAGCCCAGTCTGCTCTGATTGGTTAGCTGGCTCTGTTGTGATTGGTCAACCACATAGAGATGTTGGAGCACTAGCCAATAGAAGCTCAAGTGTTACATAGTGATGTCATTATGGTACGGAGATAAACATAGGAGTCAAATGGAGGCGTTTCAGGCAGGTGTGTGGAAGAGAAGCTCCCTCTGGAGGGAACTTTGAGATGTTAGCCTTTGTAGACCATTTACATTCACAAAAACCTACTACGGTAAAGGGAAACCCCTAAAAACATAATAGGGCCACTTCAGAAAATCATTAGATTTGAGCAGAGTGTGGATGTCAGGACTATCTCTTACCTCCGTCCTCAGGTACCTGGACACCAGGGGCATCTCCTGTGGGGTGGGGCCTGTGATCTGGCCCTCCTCCTACGGCCCAGCGGAGAGAGACGAGGACTACAAGAGCTTCAGTCTGTCGGGTCGGGCGGGGCGCAGCGGACACGACGCCCCGATGATCGCGCTGGACGCCCTGCTGGGGGCGGGGGGTGACTGGGAGGAGCTGATGAGCAGAGCCGGCTTCCATGGGGGTCAGAGATATTTTAATGGGGGCCTTTATGATGTTGGAGGCTGAGAGGAGTATTGCAGTAACTTACATCCCATCAAAGCTTCAAACATCTCATTTAAACTCTTAACCTCCACATTTTCAACTTTAAACCTAGACTTCCAGCTCAGCCTGGTAATCACAGCACCACTTCTTTGATCATTTGACATTTTAAAATGTGTCCGTACTCTTCTCTTGCATGAAGTGTCAGTGTATGGCTGAAAAGATTTAATGGAAAATTTACTTTTTATAATGTTTTGACAAAAGTTATAGCAGTGTGTGTATATAGTGTATAACAATTTCCAAAAGTCTTGGCATGAATAAATGAGTCATATTATAGTACATCATTTAAAATGTCATATCTGTCATTAAAAGTAATAATAGCATGACTAAAAAGAAAATTCAGAGTATCATAAGCCATTAAAAAATACCTCCTAGTATAAATATATTTGCAATAGAGAATAAAAGTTAATAGATTGTTTTTTGAAAGTATAGTGTAAAGGTAAAAAGTATATATGCCATGTCAGTCATAAAAATGGCATTCTAGCTTCGAGCTTCCTATTATTCTAAATTAAGTAACACTGTCTATGGTTTCCTTCCGGCCCAGGCGACAGTGACAGCACCGCAGTGATCGCCGGCTGCTGCTGGGGTCTCCTGTACGGCACCCAGGGGGTCCCCGAGGGCAACTACTGCAACCTGGAGTACCGGGACCGGCTGGAGCGCAGCGGGGAGCAGCTCTACGCCCTGTCCCACTGAGGAGCAGACCCTGCTGCACTGACTGTGTCCTGACGTCACGCACTGAGGGGGAACGAGGCCACACTCTCCGACACATCGACGGACAGCTGGGTGGCGCTCTGCCGTTCATCGAACCAGAGCGCTGACACCGAGCCACACTGGGGGGGTGACATTCTGACTGAAGGGGAGGCGGAGTGCCTTACTCACCCGAAGAAGAGTCTCATCTGCCAGAACAAGTGTGCCTCATGACGCGGATGTATAAAGAGGAGTCCCCCTAGTGACCATTTTAAATTACACCAGAGTGGAACAAATCCCAGCTAATGAGAAAGTGAAGAGAAGACAAAGAATCCCCTAGGAGACAATTATGTCGTTTTGTCAGCCTGACATAATGGCAGTGAATTATCGAGCTTCAAATGAAATGTGCTCTTGTTATTGTCTAATGAAAAGTAAATGTGTGTGTCTCATTAGAGTGGCTTCCTGCAGTGCAGAACTGTAACTGCCAACACAATTCATGTTTCAATAAATTAAACAAACAAGGCTTTGAAGTTGAGTTGAAAACTTTATTTTTTGGTCATTGTTGTTTTAATATTTTTTTTGTCTTGTCCATTTTTAATAATTATATTGTCCTACAGGAGAGGAGAGGCATAGGGGTGGGTTTTAACTACTGGATCGAGTTAAAAAAGGAAAATGATTTGCTAAAAATCCCCTCTTCACATCCTTCCTTTCATGCTGTATTCACAAGAGCTCCGCGACAGTCTGTTTCCCATGTGTGTCATGGTACCCCACACTGCTGGAAGAGAGAGCGTCTGCTGCTGGTCTCCATCCGTGTTCCTTCCTCTCCGACTAGTCCGCCCCAAAAGGTGCCTCATGTCTCTGAAATGGGAGGAAGTTGGAGAGAAGAGCAGGATGGCAGCAGGGGCCGGACGCACCTTCATCATTCGAAATAAAAAGGTCCTCCTCATCTGGGGGCTGACGCTGAGGTTTGAACTGATGAAGAACGCTACAGCGGGAGAATAAGGTGCTGTGAGGCTTTGTATCCTCCTCTCTCCTCTGCACTTCCTGTCAGTTTGTCATGTGTAAATCAGTCTGGGCTTCACATCCAGCAGGCAGTGGGGATGTTGGGGCTCATTCCTAAGAAGATTTAAGGAGGTGGGGAGGGGGCAGATGGGGTTTAGTTTCCAGGCTGATGGAAGGGGGCAGGGTGCGTTTGAACCTGCATTGCTGTGGGAGGTAAACAGAAAACAGCAAAAAAAAAAAAAAAAACACATAAATGCTACTTCAAGGCACAGATGGAGAATGAATGAATGAATGAATGAATGAATGAATGAATGAATGAATGGATGGATGGATGGATGGATGGATGGACGGATGTAGCTCTGCACTCGTACCTTGTGGATGTCCGATGTAAAAGTGTTGGTGTGCTCCCTGCTGGGGGCCGTGCTGCGGGTGCTGTTGCACGGAGCCGGGGCCCTGCTGAGGGGGGGGCTGCAGCATCACTAACTGGCCGTGGTTCCCCTGGTGGTGGCCCGCCATGGCTCCCTGTACGTGGGCCTGGGGGACAGGAGAGTCGTGTTTAGATCAGAATACATCTTTGTTCGTTCAAAAGTCATTTTACCCGTCAAATACTCATGATCAGGAGAGGTCCATTTGTTCAGGAAACTTATTACTGAAAACTTTCGTCAAATACCTTTTTACCCGTTATGAACTAAAGGAGGAAAAGATGTTGTCTAAATACATGTTTAACAAGAGTCGTTCAAAAATAAGAGCAATACTAAAATAACAATTGTTGACAAGAGAAGATGACAAAGATTTTCCTTAATGCAGCATTTTAGAGAAAGGACATTGTTGAGGTGGACCATGAGTGACTTCCTTTAGTTAAAGTTAACAATAAAAACATTAGGGAGTTAGAGAAAGAAAGGAGTCAAATGAACAATATAATCTGATAACCGTTTATCGGCTAGACTAAAATTGTTATGGTTTTCTTTGCTTAAGGTAAGACTAAAAGTGCCAGACATGGGACACTTGGGACAGGGTGAAGTTGACTAAAAAGTATAAAAACGTGGACATTTGAAACAGGATTTAATTAAGAACATCTAACTAAACGAACACTAACATGAAAAGGAACCGAGAAGGTCTCAGCACTGAGGATCCTTACCTGTGTTAACTGGCCCAGAGGATAGGACTGTGGGATGCCCTGGTGGCTGTGGATGCTGTAGCCCTGGATGGGGTACGAGCCCTGTGGAGACGTGTGTCCCGGGGGCATGTTGGGGGGGGTCTGTGCTGACAGAGGACCTGAGTGGTACAAGGACTGGGGCTGGGGGCCGGGCTGGGCATTCTGAAAGGAGACCACAATGTCAGAAGAGATGATGAATGAAAATAGCATGTCCCTAAGGCTGAATTCTCTGAAGGGTCTGGCCCACAAAGTGAGCCCTTCAGAGGACATGAAGCCCGGGCTAAACAGGCAACCCCTCCCCACATCTCTTAACCTTATCAAGCCTACATTTATGTACATTTTTCTAGTCTAGTATTATGATGGAGCCTTTTTTTTTTTAAATGGGCCTGGTTTGTTCCTGAGTTATTCTGTCATGCATAGAGAAATCCAGACTTGGTGGATGCTCCCTCAGAGTTGGGACACATCGGTATATTTTGTGTCCTGTACCTGTCCGGGGCTCTGTGCAGCGTGCTGGGGGGGGGGCTGGTTTCCTGTCGGGGTGCTGGAGGGCTGGGGCTGATGAACGGCACCCGCGTGGTGGGCAAAGGACTGTTGAGCTACAGAGGGAAATAAGAAAGATGATTAATGTCAGAACTACTTTATATTGTCGTTTACTCTCAATGTTTTTTTGAGGCTCTTAATGAAAGTATGACAATTACAAACATATGATAAGCTGTAAATGTGTTTTGAAAATCTTTAAACTAAAAATATCCTCATCAGATTTAAAAATAAAACAAAGTATAGGAGCAGTACGACTTCAAATCAAAATAAATGAATACTATTGGCTCATTCAGCGTTGGAGCACAGGCCCCTTGCAGAGATATTTAGGAGGTTTGAGCTCTACTCACCGTAAATGCCCTGCTGTTGCCCCTGAGGCCCTTCTCCCTGTGGAGAGAACTGGGGGCCTCCTGGGGGGCCCATGGCTTGTGGGTGTGGACCACCGCCTTGCCCTATCATCCTGGCTCCTCCTTGCAGCATAGAGTACATCGGCTGAAGAGAGGGGGGAACAAATCCACATATTTAAATACTAATCCCATACTGCCAGTTTTTTCCGTTGTTAATACAGTGAGGAAGATGATACATGTTTTGGTTCAAAGGCTTCATTTTCAGTACCAAACTGTGAGGCTTCTTATAACGGTGTATTTGTCACCAGAGAGGGATTGTTGCGTAATATTGTATCCAGTTAACATTTTGTTTGTACAACCTGTGCAGCAGATTAAACTGCATCAGACATAAATATAAGTTTGTAAACACATTGAATGGTTTACTAAATGTCAGAGCAAAGTGGAAATGTGCTAACATATGGGAGTAGCATAACAAGCTCTCAGAACAAACCTCTCAGAACAAACATTCAGCCGACCATTTAAACATGAATAAAAAAAAAAGGTATGAGAGGTCAGACTTACAACCTGTCCGGGGTAAGGGGACATGGCCTGGAGGACCTGCTGCTGGCTGTACTGCTGAGGGTTGTACTGCAGGTAGGGCTGAGGGTAGGGTGACGCCACCAGAGGGGCCCCGGCTGCTGCGGATGCAGCCTGCAGCATGGGCGGAGCCGAGTTACCATGGTCCGAGCGCTGAGCCACTGCACAGCGGGGCGGGGGGGGAAAGAGTTAATAAGACCACAGAAACATTGAAGGGAAACAAGTACAGCTTTATTTGTCAAATGTTTAAACGGAGACTATACATTGAAACTACAGATCTGGAGAGAGAAACATGCGTTTACCTTTGGTCCGGGGGTATTTCCCCTGGCTGACTGCAGACATGGTGTACTGGTACATGGGTGGGGGCTGCAAGGCAGAAATAATCAAGAGGGACATTGAGAAAAAGCTGCGTTGTGATCAGTCAGTCAGTCAAAACTAAATAATGATCATTTTGATACTCAATGAATTGTTTTAAAATGTTTAAAGCAAAATGCCACAATATTTCTAATGTCAGCCTCTGAAACATTTAGATTTTCTGGGTATTCTATAATAGCAAAACGTATATTTTGAATGTCCAATATTGTACAGTCAAAACATGCTGTTTAAATATGTGACAATCTGGTAAACTAAATAGCATTTTATTTGTACTGAGACAAAAATGAGAAAGTGACAGAAATAACCGTTAGCTGTAGACCTAAACAACTTTGAAAACAAATAAAGAATATTAATTTATAATTTGCTGAAGTACCTGCACAGGGTGGATCTGTGACACATAGGAGAGGTAGGGGGTGTTGTACAGGGGTCCCTGCCCCCCGGGGTGCTGCAGGAGCACGGGGCTGGGGGGAGTGGGACGAGGCGGGGTGGGCGCTGTGTTGGGCTTCACCTGTAATAACAAAACCACAGGGAGATTAAATAAGCATGTCACTTAGCTAATCACAGGCATTTCAACAAATCTTATCATTCAACATTAGAACAATACGTGTTTGTACCTAAGAATAGTACTTTTTTTATAGCTTATGACTTCGACTTTATAAAATCCACTCAGTACTCAAGTGCTCTATATCATACTCTTGTTTTAGTATAGTTCATATTTTTCTAACATTTCAAGCATTCAGCAGGAACACATTGGCTTACCATGGGCATTGGACTTTTGATAGGGTTGAACTCCTTAGCGTTGGGGTTTAAGGTTGATTTCTTGATTTGTCTGGAAGACATAAAGAAAGAAATGTGTTAACAATTATTTATCACAATAATATAAGCCATTAAAACCAAACTGTTTAACGGTGAAGAGTCTCTCAGAACTCACTCTGGCATGCCCTCCGGACGCTCCGCAGACTCAGGCCTGGAGTCCTCGCTGCCCGGGGTCCTGGCTGGCTGCGGGGTGGCCGGTGAATGCCGGTCTGAAACGGTGCCAGATGTGGAGTCTTTAGCGTCTGCAGCAGGGGAGGGTGAAGGCTGAGGCTGGGAAGGACCCGAAGCTTTGGGCTCTGATGAAGCGTCTGAGGGCTTGGCTCCGCCGGGCTGGGTGACCTCGCCAAGGGAGGGTGGGTTCGATGTCGCTGGGGAGCTGGGCGAGCTCGAGCTGCCTCCACTCGGCTGGAGCTGAAGACAAGAGCAGGAGATAAGGATTGAGTTTAGATGTTAAGGAGAATCGAGGTGTGGCAAACAGGGAAACGAAGTACGGAAGATTTAAGAAACAGATACATGTAATCTTATACCTAGATTTTTCTTATGAACTGAAGAATTCTACTGCAATTTAAAGCTTAGGGTTCATACACTTTTTCACCAATGATTTTCCATGACCAAAAAAATTACTCTTTCTCAGCGGTAACACTGAAAATTGCTTATTTTATGGAACAGGAAAATAAGGTCTGCATATGAAACATGTTGTGCTAATCTATCAATAATCTAAAACAAATCAAGTAGTAGGCTTACTAGCTTCTACACGCTAAAGCAACTAAAATCTCTCACCAGCAAAATACCTCGTCAGTTAAATGCCATTTTACGTTTCATTACTATACGATACAGTATTTATTAGATGGATCAAATATAAATTATATTTGATGCAACTTTAGTTATATTTCAATGACTTTTCCAAAACTTTGGGAAAAATATTATTTTCCATAACTTCTCCAGGGCCTGGAATTAGCATTTTGAATATCCATGACTTTTCCAGGTTTTTAAATGACCGTAAGAATCCTGAAAGCTGCCAAATCTATTTAGCACATTTCCATGAAAAAAGATTCCTAAAGAAACTTTGTCAAAAAGTCAAGGCATGAGAAACCTGTCTGAATGTCCTGTGAGACTCACTAACGGTCACAACCAAGTGAATAAGAGAGATTTTTAAAGGAAATCATTGTTCATCAGGGATGTCTCAGGTTGCAGCTTCTTGATTCGTCACAGATGTTCTAATTTCACACTTCACAGAGGCGACTGAACTCTTACCCTGAATTCCTTGCCAAATTTCCGCAGCTCCTCAATCTGAGACCTCTGCTGAACCGAGGGAACTGGTGGAAGAGAGAGAAGAACAAACATTAAGGAAAATGGAAAGATTTAGAGACACACAAAGAGCTGATGTATGTGTGCATTTCATTGAAAAGACTGATTTCCAGCCTCATACACACACCTTTACTACTCTTGCTGTCCTCTGTGCCGCTCTGGCTCTCAGCGGCACGTTCCTTCGCAGCGTTGCCAAGGATCTCGTTCACTGTAAAGACGAGACAAACGGTAAACTAATTAGTTGGGGCTTCATTAGATTCCACCTTCAATACCAGTCGCTTACTTCCACAAAGTGATGCCGGTCTTATTGACGAAGCTCACGTCATTATGGATAAATGGTTTTGACTTTGATATTTAACTCTTAAACAAAAGCAGGAGGCCGGTAATCAGACCGTACCATCGACAGGGAAGAGAGGGGCGGGGCCAGACATCTTCTGCGGGGGCATGGAGACAGACGATGTGTCCAAATAAGGCGTGTCCTGGGAAGAACCTGATTTAGGAGAGCGAGAAGCTGCAAGGACAGGAGAGGGAATAATACAAGTTAGATCTCAGACAAAATGAATCAATAATATAATAATGGTTCGGTTAGAGCAGCCGACAGAACGTACTTGAGGACTGAGAGTGTGAAGAACGGACTGTTCTGCTCGACTGCGGAGGTCTTTGGGCTTTAGGAGATGTTCTGCTAGACACTGAAAGGCAGAAAATAAAATCTTTTCAATCTGTTTGAAATTCACACTGCCTTTATAAAAATGCTAAGATGCCGTTCAAACACTCACCTCCATTAACGGGCCTGCCAGCGTCAGACAGCGAGTGTGGGAGTGAGTGGGAATGAGGGACCGTGTGTCCGTGTGGTGCGGGGGGGCTGGAGGGGGATGGAGCAGCGGATGCTGGTCCTCCGGCAGAGGCGGGCGTGGGGCCAGGGCTCGGAGCGTAGGCCCCGCCGCGGCCCGACAGAGGGCTGTTCCTCTCAGAGGGGGAGGCGCCGGACTGGGGCCCGGCGGCAGAGGGCAGCGGGGGTCTGGGGGAGGACGAGGATGGAGGGTTGGAGCGGTATCCTCCGCTCAGACGGGCGTGAGGTGGAGGCCCCCCGGGACCTCGCTCAGATCGGTCCCGCTCTCGGTTCATCTCTCTCTGACGCTGAGGTAATGGAATGTACTTGCCATCCCTGTGAGAGGAAGAGAATGTGTGTCACAGACGGACAAAACATGTGGTTGATACAACAAACATCACACTGACTGACTGGTGCAACGAAACATGACGAGTTCCGGCTCAATCAGCTGTTTGATTGTATGCAGGGTATATGCAGGACTCCTGAAGTCAAATTGAATACCCTTTAAAATCTTTTTTAAGACCCTTTCCATACATTTTAAGACCTCATTGCCACTCATCGTAGTTTAAAATTATTCACCACAGCCTTGTTGAAATATAATTTATAATCTAGGATATGACACTATAACTCTACAGGCCCCACAGACCAGCAGCCCCCCTCACCTGGTGCTAGCTCCAGGGCTGTCTCGGCCCCTCTCTCGCTCTCGCGGGCTCTCGCGGCCCCTCTCACGATCGTTGCCGTCTCGCACCACAGCGCTGTATTTGTCCTCCTCGCTTTTGCCTTCATCATTTTCCAGGCCGACGCGATGCCGATACTGCGGGCTCGACTCGATCTCACAGGCCAGGCGAGCAGCGCGGGCCTCCCTCTGCCGAAAGTTGTCTGAGTTTCCCTTCTCCAGCGGTACACTGGAGCAGGAGAAGGAGAAAGGAGCGACATAGAACAAACAATGAGGGATACAGAAAACCTTAAAACTGTTCAGTCAGATAACTCACGTGTTTCTTAATATGTTTATTAGAACTTAGAAGCAGCATATAGTTTGAGTTTGGCGTCGAGCCTCATCACTCCACAGATTTACAAAGAACATTGAGTGATGATTAGATAACTATCCCCTGAGCCTACAGGTGGAAGCTGGGGTGGTGGTGGGGCAGGCGAGCAGCAGCAACATGAACACAGCAATAGCGAGTGAACACAGCAGTGGCAGCAGCAGCATAGCGAGGCAGAGGCAGGAAGACCTGGCAGCTTAAATAGAGCGGCATGTTTAGGAGAATGTGTTTGGTTGGTTGTAAGAGGGACGAGGTGCGCCACGTGTTCTCGAGTTGACTGCCTGAACTAGCTCGCAGGCTTCGCCCCATTTCTTGAATTCAAACTGAGCCCAAAGTATTGTTCATGTAAAACGTATGAATTGAAATGGCTACTTACGTATACATGGAAAGGCTGGAATCGTATGTTGACGTGACTCCATATTTCACTTCATTGTAGCGGAACATCTCGTTGGCATCCCAGCCATTGGACTGAAAAGACAAATGTAAAATAAATCAGGGATATTATTAAGTGCATCAAGCAGAAGTTTAAAAAAGTGTATTTCTTGTGGTTTAATAATAATAATATAACATTTCCGAGTATGGGCATCTTTGTTTTTTGTAGTGTTGAAAAGACAAAGCGACTCACTGGATCTTTCTCCAGATCGAAACCCTCTCCATTGCTCTCTCCGCCCTCCCATCTCTGCAGAACCTTCTCCTTGTGTTCTCCGTTGACACGCGTGGAGCTGATGGCCGTGTCTGTGAAGGTGTCTAAAACCATAGGAATGAAAGTAGATTAGACCTTTCTCTAAGTGTTTCATTTTGCACACTTTGTCTACAGCCTGCAATCTGAGTCTAATCGATGAGTCTCAAAATATAACATTAAAGAATTCCTCAGATCAAATCCAATCTAGTCAAGGCTAACATATCTATTTACTATAAATCAAGGACACTCTCAGCATGAACTAAGTCTAACTTTCACCACAAAAAACTGTTTTCCAGGAGGATCAATATGTCTATCCTTCCAATGCATTGCAGGTGTGTCAAGATGTTCGCACCTCTTGTGGCAAAGTTGAGGTCGACGTCTTTGCAGATCATGGTCACCAGGTCGGAGGGGCTGAAGATCATGGTGTCAGTGATGTCCTCCCTCCGTGGCAGAGTTGATGTCGGTTCCTCCTCCTCACCGCGTTTGTGTACAGCGTCCACAGCCAACTCACACTATGGACCCGACATTAGAGATTTGAAGTCAGTGTTAACTTGCAGACAGGAACATAAAACAACTAAAGAAAGGTCATAATATTCATTGAGAAAAGTTAACAGTTATGCTGGCAGGATTACATGCAGTTTTATTTCGTTGAAAGTGGTGGGTTCAACAAGAGATTCTTACCCGAGAGCTGAGAGTCTTAAATACGCCTTCAAATACACTCCCGTTCTTCACTCTTATGTCACAGGTCGAACCCTAAGAGGGAGGGAGAAAGACTTTGATTTAAAAACGTATAAAAGCAGAAAAATAAGACACAAACAAAATGTATTTAGAAATGTGATACTTCCAAAACTCTAACAGCTTTTTGGGATTGAGTATACATATTTTGAAAACTGTATTCTGTATACTGTCCATGTTGTCAATAGTAACTATTTAATGCATCTGCTTTTATGAGATTTGGGTTGTCGTGTCTGAAAAAGTGCACGTCTAGTAATAATAAGGAGAAACACGACAGACAACTTGCAGCACAGCCGGTCTTGAAAGAGAAGGACCATTAGAGAAGGTAAGTTACATCTTCCCTCCAACTCATGTGGTACAGGTCAAAGTAGGTAATGCAAGTCATTCATTTGTCTTGAATAATCCATTCTGGTCTAATGACATTAATAACAAGTCTAATGACTTACCACAACAGCTGTGAGGAAATGAAGCATCCTAGCATTGTTGTACACACCCTCGAACACCTGCAGATGGGAAAACATGTTTTAGGTATTCATCAGGCAAAGTAGTACAAATACATGACATTAAAAGATCAAATGATATATGTATATATTTTTTTTTAAAAGGACCAACATTTGATATCTTAACCAGTAAAAAATATGTAGGTTGTCCATTTAAAGGGTAGGTTCTACATCAATACTCTCCTTTTATACAGGAAAACCACTTATGACGCACTCTAAGGAATGGAGGTTTAAGCCACAGTTACCCTTTTTAACCAACTGTCGTCACAGGTATATTCCTGGTAGTCAGATACATTTGGATTGTAGTCCAATGCACACAACATATTCTTTTATATAAAATTCTCTCATCAGTGCTCTCTTGAAGAGGAACGTTCAAAGGCAGATTTCCCATATATAGTTTAAAATCTTTGATAATGTATAAGATCACACGATAAGCATGTCACGATGGTGCTGAAATGGGACTTAAAGATAAGGATTGGTTTCAATATGGCCCTTTCGTTTTTAACATTGTGTACAATCTTATGCATGAAACTTTTCTGAATCAGGATACTCACTGGAGATGACTGGAACGTTGGCTTTGCAGAAGCTCGGTTCCTGGGAAAAACAAAACAGTTCAAACATGTTTGTCTGCTCAGACAGTTGGATAACCTAAAAGCCAGCCAAGGCAGTGTCACATTCCACATATAGTTGGATTAGGGAAGTTGAAAAGCTCACTTACAGGTCTGACAAGTCCCCAAATCATCATTCCTACTGCACTGAACACTTACAACGCAAACTTGGTAACTAAGTCACCTATTGGGAATTTATACTTTCTTCAAACTTTATTTATTGACGTATTCAACCTTTCTTGTGTTAGGTGTCATCCTGCCACCAATTTAACTTTGGAAAAAAACAACATCATAACAGATGCATTTTTCAATGATGTAATGTGTAGTATAATCTTAAAGAAAACTTCAATATTTGGTAATGTTTCATAAACATAGATGCAGCAGTTCTACTGATCCCTTTAAATAGATCACACCTAGAATCTCTTGAATTAAATAAGGAAAATCGAATCTATATTCTTTAAATCACGTCAACATTTTTAGAAAAAACGTTTGAGCAACTATTGCACATAATCCACGTCTCTTTGCTGGCACTGACAGGCCATATACACTTTGAATAGCTTTTTTGCTGATTTGCTGCTCACTGCTTTCACAGAACCTGGATCCACCTCAGTTTTTGTCTTGCATTTAATCTGGACATTCCAATTGGTTAACAGTCCCTGTCAATCTAACATGAGCTAATCTGATTGGCCTGGAAATAAACTCTATTTCCGAGACACACCCACTCGGCACACACCGCCTCAACCGGTAGGCCTCCAACTCACGGGACAATCCTCGGACTGGCCTGACAGAAAGCCCCACACAACCCGCTTACCTCCCGGCCTGAGTCCTGCTGCCGCTGTTGATTCCGCTGACTGGAGCAGACATACCGGCGGGGCCCGAGGTTCCGTTGGACGCCTTTCTCCCGCCTGAGCCGGACTGCTGCTGTGGTTTCAGCATTGCGAAGCACAAGGCTTAAGACACCAATAAGTGTACGCTCACTTATAAACACTGATACCTTTGGAGGTGAAGTTTTTAAGGCGAACTATCTTTAGCAGTATCACCTGTCCCGAGCGGAGCCGGTGTTTAACCTCAGGGATACCGGCTAGCTACTCTTGCTAAGTGAAGTCGCTTGTGGCCTAAAATGTAAAAGCGAATTTATATTAAATTAAACATATAACTTAACAAACCACCCCGACTATCTTATCTGTTACCACGGTAGTTATGACAAAGCAAGCGACTAGTGAAAAGACACGAGTTTTCGTGTGATTACTTAGCACTAGCTCGCTAACTTAGCACTAGCTTGCTAACTTAGCATTAGCTTTGATCCTAAAGCTCACTTCGGGCGCTTTCCTCCGGGATGTACGGTCTTCTCTCGGTCGCGTCGCCTTGACTCCGGCACCGCTGACCCCTTCCGTTAAAATTTAAGCACTTGGTGTTACTGTCAGTTGCCCTATTAAGTTAGATTATTACAGGTTTCTTACTGAAAACCTGCTGCGGGTCGGTCAACACCACCTCTCGGTAGGTTCACTAGACTCAATCCGCGCGCGGCTGACCGGCTGGAAAGGGGGAGGGGGCGTTGACGTGCGCGTGCGCTTTTTGACCTAGTAGTGAGCGCGCGTACGTGGAGTCATGTGTGCATTGAACTCCTATTTCATTCATTATGATTTATCTCTCAGATATAAACAGAGGTGGAAGAAGTACTCAGATATTGTACTTAAGTAAAGGAAGAAGTAAGAGTGTATGAATACTATGTTACAAGTACAAAAGTGCTGGTATACAAATATAATAAAACTCCTGAAAGCAAAAGTACTCATTATGCCAATTTCAGAATAATATATATAATAATACATGTTTTGATTATAATTATGTATGCATGAATGTGTTATCAAACCAGGTAAAGGTACTACTTTTAATGACGTTGTGTACTGCAGTGCAGGGTAGCTATTGAATTTACTCCAGGTGTAACTAAAGTCTTATTTAAGTGTTGATTAAATATTTCACATCATTATTCCAAATCTGTAAACTAATTAAATGTATCTTCTTAGTTACTTTATACCACTGGATATAAACACGAATGGATCATGTACACGTGGCAGTCACAAACAACATTTTTTTTATAGACAATTATTATTGCAATCTTTTAATGTGCATGTTGCTGTTTCCGCGTAATGTTTCTAAATCATTCATACATCATGTATCAATGAGTGATATGACATAATATGATAAGGGCAGAAAACACATGCACCGCTCTCCCTGGTTCAGCCTCTTTCTCCGTGCGTCCTTACACTCGTTATTACGACTGTAAGCGGCAGGCAACATGGCAGCCTCCATAGATAGCGTTTGTGTAACATAGCCGGAGTTTGGTACATTTTCAAAGGATTTTGATCTTATTTTCTTCTGACTTCATTCCGAAAATCAAACAAAAGACCTTCGTCTACTGCCAAATAAATCGTAAGTGTAATACACCACGTGATTTGGCATTTTCAACGGAACTAACATCACTAAATAAGTGTTTTTAGTTATAGCTAACATATGAATGTATGTTCCAATGTTCTTCTGATCCTATTTAAAGATTAATGTCAGATATTTATCTGTGTTAACACTGTACATGCTGTCATATTTAGAGTTGTGACTTATCAGAATGATGAGTATATTCTGTCCTTGAGCTGTTGGGTTTAAACCAGTCTATGGTTTAAACTGAAGTCAGTATTCTCTATTTTAGAGAAACAGGGCTCAAATGCATGACAATTTCGGTAGTTTTGATAAATAGGTATATACATTTTTTTCTTTTAGCAGATGTGAAAATACATTTAGCAGCCGTATATTTACAAGGCAAGGTATCATAAATAGTTGTAACCTGCCAGACCTAATGCAACATAAACACTTCTAAATGAACAATCTCAGCATATGCTAAAACAATCTTAACATGGATGTCTATGCACTTTTTATAACAACCAAGTACATTATTGAATGCATGACTTGACTTTAAAGTTTTACATGATTTTAACTATCCAGTAACTTAAATTCAGTATTTTCCCTGAATCCTTAAGTCGTCATGTCTGCATTTTTGACCACCTAACACTCTCTACAGGTATGCATCCCACATGTTGACAAAGAAGCTCCCCCCCCTGCAGAGGTTCCTGTCACTGGTTTCCAGACGTGCAAGTCATGCCACCCGACAACAGTATGATGTCATTGTTGTGGGTGGGGGTCACGCAGGGACCGAGGCGGCGGCGGCAGCAGCCCGAGTGGGAGCTGAGACCCTGCTGGTCTCACAGAAAATACAAACCATTGGTGAGAAAAAGAAAGTGTTCTCTTAACAAAAGAGCATATTTTTATTTGATTGCAAACTTTTCCACCAAAATATGTCCCATGTCTTCCTCCCAGGTGCCCTGTCCTGTAACCCCTCTCTGGGTGGAGTGGGGAAGGGTCAGCTGGTGAGGGAGGTGGACGCTCTGGACGGGCTGTGTGGTCGAGCAGGAGACTGGGCTGGGATCCACTTCTCCATCCTGAATCGTAGAAAAGGCCCCGCTGTTTGGGGCCCGAGGGCCCAGCTGGACCGGCAGCGTTACCGCACATTTATTCAGGTATCAGATGAGGTTTACATTTTCTCTCTTTGGTAGAATGAATACTTGTCTGTGATGCCTCTAACTTTGTGTCTGCTGTTTATCCTTCAGTCGGAGCTGCTGTCCACCCCCAGGCTGACGGTGTTGGAGGGCTCAGTGGAGGAGCTGCTGTTATCAGAAACAAACCCAGAGGAGCCCGGAACACACCGAGTCACAGGGATACGTTTGGGTAAGGAGCAGATATTTACCGTATCCCACACTTGATCCCACACTTGACGCCCTAATAAGGACTGTAATCACAGGTGTATTCCTGTTTTTCATTTCACCCTAAATGTGTCATCATGATTTAGTTTTTAACTTTGTGCTCATTATGTTGCGTTGTTTTTTTTTATGCCCAACTTTCCCGAATAGAGATACTTAAAGAGGATGCTTTTTGCTTAACAAATGTCATCCTCAATCGGGTTCTCTTTCTCTATGCAATAATTGTATATGTAGAAATTCTGAATGGCATTTTTTTAATAGAGAATCTGGAGTTTGTTTGACATTTATTATCAAACAAATGTATCATCCTATTAAAACACTTTTCGGATATATTTGAATAAGTTAATGATCGTGCACTTCCTTCAACATCTTCACAGCAAACGAAGGCACGCCAATCTCAGCCAGCTCTGTGATCCTTACTACTGGAACCTTCTTGTCTGGCTCGCTCTTCGTGGGCCAGAGCGAGTCCCCCGGGGGTCGGATAGGCGACGCTCCATCGAGCGCAGGGCTGTCCCACACACTGAGGGAGAGGCTGGGGCTGAGGGTCGGCAGACTGAGGACCGGGACCCCTCCCAGGATTCTGAAGGATTCTGTCGACCTCTCCCTGGCTCACCTTCATCCCCCGGACAGTCTTCCCACTCCGTTCAGCTTCCTGAATACACACACACGCTGCAAGGTAACGCCTGGATTATGTCTGGTGACTACCTGCACTGGATATGGTCCACTATGGAGCTTTGGGAATGATTTCTAATCTTTCTTGCCACTGTTCTCTTTGTGATGGGTTTGGATGGTCTGCCTTGTCCACCTGCAGACTCAAACCATTGGCTAATTTTTATTTATAAGGCTTATCTTGGTCTGCTTCTTTATTACCTTTGGAAGGATATTTTCCTTAAGTCTGTACTGAACAGGGAAACATTTTAATTTAAGTTTCCGAACCACCTGAATCTTCTGGAGTTAGTGTCAGTGGAGGAATGATTCTTAACTAATTGGAAGCACACCCATCCAGGAAGATGTTTCAAATGTCTTTCGAAACCTTAAAATTAGTTCTGTAACGTAATTTCAATGTTTTAAATAATTTTTATGTCTGCAGCCGTGTTATTTTTGTCACTGCCAATATCTTGGCCATGACACTCAGTCAGTCCTTTAATCCGGGTTAAATGTAGTTCAGGAATTGATTACTGTTTTTAGCAATAGCAGTCTACAAGAGGAATTCTTACATATCCTTATAATTTTGTTTTCCTTTTGAAACTTAACAATTCTTCAGCCTGAGGAACAGCTGCCTTGCTACCTGACCTATACTACTCCTGGTGTAGAGAGAGTGGTGAAGGAGAGTCTTCATCTCAACTGTCACATTCAGCAAGACGCCAAGGGTCCCAGGTACACACACACACACACACACACACACACACACACACACACACACACACACACACACACACACACACACACACACACACACACACACACACACACACACACACACACACACACACACACACTACACACACACACACACACACACACACACACACACACACACACACACACACACACACACACAGTACACAGTGTGTTCTGAAACCACATGTACCAACCTGAGTCCCCCCCCTCTCGCAGATACTGCCCCTCCATCGAGTCGCGAGTGGTTCGCTTCCCAGGCAGACAGCACCAGGTGTGGCTGGAGCCTGAAGGGTTGACCTCTGACCTTTTGTACCCTCAGGGTCTGTCTATGACCATGCCCCCCGACATTCAGCTTCGCCTCATCAGAGAAATCCCTCCCCTGCACAGAGCTGAGATTCACACGCCTGGTACACTGCCTGAATCCTGTTTGATCTGCATAGCAACCATTGATTTACAGCACATTTAAAAGTGATTGTGTTCCCTGAATGTTTCTTATGTTTGTGTCTTTTCCAGGTTATGGTGTGCAGTATGACTTTGTGTGTCCCACTCAGCTGAGCCCCGCCCTGCAAGTGAAAAGCACCCAGGGGCTGTTCCTGGCCGGACAGATTAACGGAACAACGGGGTACGAGGAAGCCGCCGCACAGGTAGCTGCTTTTGTTTTGATCAATATGTTCAGAAATTAAAGCTGAGGTAGGCAGTCATTTTTGGGGTGAATTCAAATAAACGTTAAACTCCTAAAACTAGACTCCTGCACCTCTGCTTTTAGGCTTTAGAAAATATATCCTGTTACGAAAGCCTTTGGCCAATCACAGGTTATTTCAGAGAAAATAGGCTTCCTATGGTCTGCTCTACTTATACAGAGGAGCATGCACGTCTCTTCGTTAACAACCTGATACAATGACCCATCCGAGACGCATCCAAAAAACAGTCTGATCAAATCGGCAAAGCATTTCCGATATCAAGAGAAAAACTTTTATTTTAGTGGTTGTATTCGTTACGTTTTTAATTACCCTGAAACCGATTTCCACACTTTTTGAAACCTTGTTCCTGTCTGTGCAGGGCCTGTGGGCGGGGGTGAACGCTGCCCGCTCTGCACTCTCCATGCCTACAGTGGCATTGTCCCGGACAGAGAGTTATATTGGAGTTCTCATTGATGATCTGGTGAGTCGAGGCGTTACAGAGCCGTACCGCATGTTCACCAGCAGGGCTGAGTATCGAACCTCTCTGAGGCCGGACAACGCTGACCTCCGCCTCACTCTGAAAGGTACCCATAGTTTGTTAAGACTTTATTTGTTTTAC